TATAATGGTGCATGACCGCTCCATACTGATAATTATAAACGGATTCTTTACACGCGATTTGAAGCAGAGCGAAAGTCTGGCTTTTGAGTGCGTGTTTAAACAGACAGATACACGAGATTAATAATAATAATAATATCTAAAGATGTCGATCTTAGTGCTTTTTTTTTTCAAACACAACTAATTTTGTCTTGCATGAGCATAAAAAGTTAGGAAAGCAGTCAAATGCCTTCATTATATTGTCAGATGTGTGCATTTTTAAAGTGATACCAGTTAATTAATGTAATCAAAAATAAATAAATAAATAAAAAATCTAAATAAGAGATTCATCCGTTGCTCTATAATCAAAATGTGTGAGTTATACAGTGAAAAAACGGCTAATGAAATTAAATTTGATAGCTTGATTCTATTTCATTATAACTGCTATTAATTTTAATAAGCTGAACTTTTTGCTAGAGTATTTGCTGCTAATGTATATATATATATATATATATATATATATATATATATATATATATATATATATATAAAAATAATAAATAAATAAATATATATATATATATATATATATATATATATATATATATATATATATATATATATATATATATATATTTTTTTTTTTGTAAATAATTATAACAACACACATTACTGACCAATTAACTGTTTATTTACAATGAAACAGCTCCAAATGAACATATTTAGTAATTTGAGGATTTTTTAAAAAGAGGATGGGGGGGGGGGGGGGGGGTTGTTGGGGGGGGTCCCTTATTATACTGGGCATTTACCTTATTTTCACATCCCAATGTTGACAGGTATGACCTACACACGTTATGATTTTTACTGAGTACGATGCAATCTTGGATTGACATCTACGTGGATCCTGGAACATCATTTTTGTTTAAAAATGTAATCCATACCTATTCCATACCCCTAAACCCAACCATAACTGTAATTTTTTCCCAAAATCAGAAGGTAATAATAGGGCAGTTCTTCAACTACGGGCACATTTAGCCATGTTAAGTTGAGTAAAATGAACTTGTTCAACATTAACATAGCATAGTCTCATAAGTTTAAACAATTTGTCTAGTTTTAAGATCTGTAAGAGGACAAGCTTAGATATGAAAAGAAATAGTTAATATTTATTTATTTTTCCATCGTGAACTGAACAAATGTCATTTCCACAACATCTCAAAATACAGCTTTTATTTCAAAATTAAATAGATTATGGCAGTCAAACATTTTCTAAGATCATTTTTGTATCTAGTTTAACCAATCTTTTCAATATATATATAAAAAGGCATCTGCTTCGTAAAACATAAGCTGGATAAGTTGGCGGTTCATTCTGCTGTGGTGACCCCTAATGAATAAAGAGGCTGAAAAGAAAAAAAAAATGAACAAATTAATAATTCATTAGTATGGTGTCGGACTTCCTTTTGCGGACAATATACCATCAGTTCATCTTAGGAATGACAGACACAAGTCCTGCACAGTGGCCAGAGGGATTTTGAGCCATTCTTTTTGCAGAATAGTGTTCGAAGTCACTAGGTGATGCTGCTGAAGAAAAACATTTCCTGACTCATTCCCCCACAATACCCCATAGTGCTCAAAAATATTTGGATCTGGTGACTTTGTCACCAGTCTTGCTGTGTGTATTGATGCATAATCATCCTGGCACACACCACTGCCTTCAGGATGCAATGTTTGAACCACTGGGTGCACATGGTCCTTTAGAATGAGTCGGTAGGTCTAGGCAGTGATGCTCCATCTAGCACCAGTATTGGGCCTATGGAATGCCATGATATTGCAGCCCAAACCATCACTGATTCCCCCATGTTTTACTCTGAGCATCAATAGTCTTGGTGGGATGCTTCTTTGGGGCTCCACACTAACTCTACTAGATGTTTTAAATACAGTGAAGGTGGGTCTCGTCAGAGAAAAAAAAACATGTTTAACATTATCCACAGCACAAAATTTTGGCTGCTGCATCATTAAAACAGGCATTGGCATTGACACGGGTGAGCAGTTGGCCATGTATATTGACCCTGTGAAGGTCCCGACCAACAGATTTGGTGGAAACAGGAGAGTTGAGGCACACGTTTAATTCTGCAGTGAGTTGGGCAGCTGTGGTTTTATGTTTTCTTTTTTTTTTTTTTTGGATACAATCGTTGTAAGGATCCGGACATCCCTTTCAGACAGCTTCCCCTTATGTCCATAGTTACTTTGGTTGGATGTGGGTCTTCTTCTTGGTGGTTTGCTGACATTACTCTGGATACCGTGGCTCTTGATACATTATGAAGACTTGCTGTCTTAGTCACAGATGTGCCAGCGAGACGCACACCAAAAATTTATCCTCTTTGGAACTCTGATATGTCACCATGTTGTGTGCATTACAATATTTTTAGTAAAACTGTGCTGTTACTCTGCAAACCAGATCTTCACACTGCTCTTTCTGGTGGTATGTGAAATCAATGAAGATTCGCCACCAGCTGCTTAAATTTAGACATGAAACCTCCAACACTAAAATGGACAGTGTTCCAGTGTCATTGTTTAACCCCTGTATTTTTGCAATCCATATTAATTGTGCTTTAAAACCATAAATGTCATTTCCACCACATCCTGTCTTTTCCACTATGCTGCCCACCGTGGTGGAAAAGACAGTGGTGGAAATGACATTTTTACAGTTTATTGTTAAAAAAGTAAGAGATAGCTTCACTGATTAGCTTTGAATTAATACTAGCATTTCATGCATAAAAATACAGTTATTTATCCTAATTTTGTTTGTTTGTTTTTTTAAACGCCTTTAAAGGTACAACATGTTTGGAAATGACATATGTATTTACCTATCAAGCATTATTGATCTTGATTTTTCTTCATGTGTTGTTGATGAAAATTATAATTCCCTCCACCATGTTCTCACATGGCACAATTCATTTTCATTGAAACCACATAAATAATCTTTCACACAAACTTTTTAAAGCAAAATTTCAGCGTTGTGGTGGACATGACACTGATACTGTGCGAAAGCTATATTTTGTATTAAAAAATATTGATAATAGTCTCACATTAATAACTATAAAATATCTAACGTATTTCAATAGTGCTTTATTAAGATACATTAATAGTTAACAGGTTAATAATATTTTTGAATGTTATTTTCATTGTTGAAGTAAGTTTAAAACTGGGAGTGTGACAAGGGAAAATAGTGATTTTGACCCCTAAAAGGAGGTTAAATAATACGAAAAAAATATATAATAGAAAGCTGGTAAATTCTTATAAAAGTAGCTAGGTTTTATTGTTAGTTTGACAAAGGAAAAGGATTTTTATCAAAACCATATATATTTTTGGATATATGATCAAAGGACTTAAAAGTGCCCGTAGTTAAAGAATTACCCAAGAATTCGATTACTATCATGTACTGTAGAATTGCATAAACCTAACCGTAGACCTAAACTTAACACGAATGGTAAATGTATAATTTATCTCTGCTTGGCTTATTAGAATGTTGTTCCTGGATCAACATAGATGTTAATTAATTGATTGTCCTAATCAATGAAATCAGGTTGGTGATATGCCTGTTTATATTTTTGTAGATATGACTGTGTATTCTTAAGGCAGTGCTGTATATCAGGCTGATAATGCACCAATACACACACAAGACTAGTCATAGCTAGGTTCAATCAACATGAAAATAAAGTTGAACATCTCCCATGGCCTGTGCAGACACAAGATCTGAATATTATTGAGCCGTTTTGGGGTTTTGATTAAGCCCTACACCATACTAATGAATTATTGTTATTTTAAACCAGGCGTTTCAGAATCATTGTCCTACCCATTATTGCTATTTTATATATACAGTTGAAGTCAGAATTATTAGACCCCCCCCCCCCGAATTATTACACCCATTTATCTTTTTTTTTTTTTTTTTTTTTACAGAATTTCTGCTTAACACATTTCCAATGTGATTTTATTTTTCACATTTCTAATCATAATAGTTTTATTAACTCATTTCCAATAACTGACATTTTATCTTTGCCATGATGACAGTACATAATATTTTATATATATTTTTTAGATATTTATAGTAAAGGGTTATCTACGTTAATTAATTTAACAAGGCAGGCTAGGGTAATAAGGCAAGTTATTGTATAACGATGGTTTGTTCGGTAGACTATCAAAAAATAAATAAATAGCTAACAGTGGCTAATAATTTTGACCTTAAAATAGTTTTGAAATAAAATCAAAACTGCTTTTATTCTAGCCGAAATAAAACAAATAAGACTTTCTCAAGATTTAAAAAAAAAAAAAAAAAAAAAAAAAAAAAAATATATATATATATATATATATATACATACATTTCATAGTATGTCTGATAATATATATATATTATATATATCTACATATATATTATCAGACATACTATGAAATGTCATTGCTCTGTTAAACATCATACGGGAAATATTTACAAAAGACAAAAAAATAATAATAATAAAAAACATATATATAATAGCAATAATAAAATACTCAAAATTCAACATATGTTCATAACATTTAATGATTATTTCATTAGATCAAGTAAATGATTAAAAATTATTAATAACTGATTAAAACAAAAGGTGGTCAACTAAAAACTATTTAAATAATCTATTTACAGGAAGCACACTGTTTAGATTGTTGATACAAATAGGGGAATTGTCTGAGCCCCCAGCTAAGCCTACCCTGCATAATTGGTTAAACTTGGCCTAGTCACTTTACCCCAGGTTATATATCACCGTCTTGAGGTTCACTTTATCTTAACAGCTTAGGGAACCTCTCATGTTCACTTCAAAGCCCCGGTTCGAATGCCTTCAAAGTTAAAGACTAAAACCTCTGTATCGCCCCAGAATCAGAAGCTGGAATCTGTCTGAGTGTGGGAAATTTTATTTGGGAGCAACTGCGTTTTTTCTTTTAATTTTTGGAAAATCGATCATTAAATAATCCAGTAAAAAGACCGCACAGGCAAGTACAGCATGGAAAAGAACTTTATTTATATAAAAGGTGATCTGTGACAGACGGGAACAAGTACGGTTACAAACTAAATGTGACAGTCTATCTCTAGCAGACAGTTTGCATTAACATCCAGAACAGTGGAACAGACAACAGGAACGAAACAGGCCAGCTCAGGTTGACTCATAGGCTATTTGTAGACATGGTGATGGCTCACATCAATTAAACATTTTTTTCTTTTTTTGCATGTTTTTTCAGAGGACTTTGTTTAAAAAAACAAATAATTTTACACCAAAAGCCTAAAAAAAAAAAAAATGACTGGCTAACAAATGGCAGAAAATTTGCTGGAGATATCACAGGAATTGATCTGAGCACTTCGAATTGCAACACCGCCTCAGGCGAGAACAGAACTATTACTTTTTTTTCCTACTCAAAAAACATCAAGCCTGCATGTGGTGGTAAACACATCACGTGGGAATACAGAGGAAATGATTGGTTTTAAAAGTGACTCCCCCCGCCGTCTCCTCACTCACTTTGTAATTTGCCTCAACAGTAAATCAGAGTCACTGCTGCGCTCTCTGACTTCGGCATGGATTTGTCCTCTCCCAGCATTCCTGCACTCATGAATCACTCTGATTCCTGGCTTCCACCAGGCATTTCCTCTACAACTTTCAAAATTTAGTGAGAAGAGTGCCGCTCGCCATCACGGGACAGCCTTCGATTCGGCCCACAAAAGAACAAGGAACACAGAATGTCATTCTAGAGCTTTCCAGGTCTTGTTCCAACTGTTAAAGGAACATCGGATTCAATACAAGTCAAGCTCAATCGACAGCACTTGGCCTACAATGAAACAAAAGCAAAAAAACGAACTTGGCCAAAATGTTCAAATACTCGATTTCAAAACAACATGTTAAAGGAAACGTTTTGCAAAAAAATGACAGTTCTGTCATCTTTTACTTACCCTCTAAACCTGAAAGGGTTTCTTTCTTCTGCTGGACAGTAGAGATTTAAAAAAATAATATTGGTATAGCCAAACTGTTAATGGTAACCATTCACGTCCACAGTAGGAAAACAAAAGAAATTCAATAGAAGTCAATGGTTATCATGAACTGTTGTTAATATTTTTAAAATATCTTCTTTTGAGCTCAGCAGATGAAAGAAACTCGTGCAGGTTGGGAATAAGTGAGAATAACAATTTTTTGGTTCCCTTAAAGGAATAGTTTACCCAAATGCTGGCTGATGATGCCCATTACCTTTCATAATATGGGTTCCATCAACCATCAACTGAAGAAAGACACTCATAAAGGTTAAAAACCACATGAATGAGAGTAAATTGTGAGGTAAACAACATTTTTTGGGTGAACTATCCCTTTAAAGGCTTTTATTAAATAAAATAAAATTGCAACAACTACACCAATATTGACAGAAAAATGTCATCGGAATCACTTTCACAATTTTTTTACAGATGTTGTGCAGCAGCACATTAAAACCTGTTAAGATCTTGAGCATTTACAGTGCCAGATGCAAAACTGAAATAATAATGAGCGAAAATGTTATTGTGGATGCTAAATTATGTTAAAGTTATGGATATAGCTGACATTCTTAACCTGAAAGGCCAATGCCTCCAGGATTTAGCTTTTTTTTTTACATGTGAGACCTAAAATTCCTCATTTTATTATTGTGGGGGCTTTTCTCAAAACGTATCTGATTATTTGGTTCAATTTTTGTGTTTTGCCATGAAATTACACAAAAATCTTGCTTTCTTCTTTTGTAATCTTAAGAACTATGGGCTCACAAAATCCTGGAGAGACTGAATAGAGCTTTAACATGATTTAAGTGCTTACAAACCTTGCCTGTGTAAAGTTACATCCAAATTTACAACTTCATTGCCATTTTACAACAACGGAACGCCTACAACCCCTCTTAACACGGCCGTAAACATTTGAAAAAAAGTTTTCTTTCTAAACATAAGTAATGAAAGTGCTTTTCTAAATTATATTTAGAAGTTTAAAAATGTCAGTTGTTAATGTTGAAAAAATATGCAGAAAGTGCTGTAATTTGAGCAGGATTTGTACTAAACTCAAACTATTCCATTCATTCGTTGTGTGAATGTTCTTGCTTCCAGACATCAATCACGAGTATTTCTTAACAGACACAGTTTTTTTCTTTTTTCTTAAATCTCATACCGTAACATATCTTCATAATAACATTCATAATAAAGCAAAGATAAGAACTCCATAGTGCCATGGGAAAAATCACAGAAAGATCCTACAAGAGCTTTGAGAGTTGTGGATTCTCAAAGGACAAGTAGAAAGTAGAAAGGATTTCTTAAATTATTATTCCGACTTTGTTTTCTTAGCATTTAAAAGACTCTGTCGGCTAAATTCTTATTCAATTATATACAAAACATACAACGTACAATACAGAGAGATCACTTCACAAGTTCACAAATGAGACCAGTTCCGAAGCTCTGAAAGCAAATGGCTCTGTGCATTATGTTTCTTCATATCATGGCCTGGATCACCATCCTGCCTTTAACCTGGTGAATGTAGGAGCTCTGATTGGCCATTGTCTCGTCATCGCTGGCGCCGGGCTCCTCTTTGACCCGGATAACGCCAGGGTGAGAGTCCAGTGGGATGGTGGGTGAGCGGGAGGTGTTTTGGGGGCTGTGCTTCCGGATGACGCCACCAGAGGGCGAGCTCTCCTCCTGCATGGCATGTTCCTGACAGTCTTCTCCTTCTTCCTCCTCTGACTCCTGCAGGTGGACATTTGGCTGACGGAGCTGCTCGATGGATTTGGAAAGCATCTGTTGGTGAGAGAGAAAGAAACAAAAATATGGATTTACTATTGTTTTGTTGTTGTGTAGTATGGGATCTGCTTTTTGTCCTATTCCCCATGATGCTTTTCTTTGTATATGGCAAGCCATTTTCACATTTAACCAATAAGCCCTACTAGTATCAATTTTCATGTTACTTGTGCTTATTTTTTTAGATAATAGTATCTTTATGGTAGGCCGATTTGACATTTAATAATCCATATTAGTATCTAATTTCTTGTTCATTCATTCATTCATTCATTTTCTTTTCAGCTTAGTCCCTTTATTATTCAAGGGCCACCACAGTGGAATAACAACTTATCCATCCGTTTTTAGGCAGTGGATGCCCTTCCAGCCGCAACCCATCTCTGGGAAACAACCACATTCACTCATTCACACTCATCTATGGACAATTTAGCCTACCCAATTCACCTGTACCGCATGTCTTTAGGCTGTGGGAAACCCACGCGAATGCAGGAAGAACATGCAAACTTCACAAAGAAACGCCAACTGACCCAGCCGAGGCTCGAACCAGCGACCTTCTTACCTACTGCGCCACTGCATCACCCTATTTTCATGTTACTAGTACTTATTTTTTAGATACTAGTATTCTTTCCATTAAGTTCTAGTATTTATTCATTGTATACTACTGCTTATTCATTAGATACTAGTGCATATTCTTTAGATATAGTGCTTAAAAAATATACATACTAGTGCTTACACATTAGACACTGTTTTATTATTAGATACTAGTACTCATTCATTAGATACTAGTACCTCTTAAAAATATACTAGTACTTATGTATTAGATACTAGTACTCATTCATTAGATACTAGTATCTATTTAATAGGTACTTGTACTTATTCATTGAGAACTAGTATCTATTTTTATGTTTATTCATTCATTCATTTTTTTTGGCTTAGTCTCTTTATTAATCCAGGGTCTCCACAGCGGAAAGAAAAGCCAACTTATCCAGAACGTTTTTACGCAGTGCATGCCCTTCCAGCCACAACCCATCTCTGGGAAACAACCATACACACTTATTCACACTCATACACTACGGACAATTTAGCCACATATCTTTGGACTGTGGGGCAAACCAAAGTATCCGGAGGAAACCCAAGCGAACGCAGGGAGAACATGCAAACTCCACACAGAAACGACCCAGCCGGGGCACAAACCAGCGACCTTCTTGCTGTGAGGCAACAGCACTACCTACTGCGCCACTGCATCACACTGCACTGCCATTTTTTTTATATTATTATTTTAATAAATAATTTTAAGAAAAATATTCTGTTCATCAAGGCAGGATTTATTAAATGTAAAATAATGTTACTTATAAATAATAATAAATAATGAACTTATTTATTAAATATTTATTTATTACTTAGTTTCAAATGATTATTTATAAATGTTTGTTCGATCGTTATTTATTTTGTTACTATATTAATTATAATAAAAACAATAATAATTAATTTTAGAGTGATTTCTGCAGGATCATGTGACTCTGAAAACTAGAGTAATTAAGCTGAAAATTCATTTTTAATATTACAGGGAAAAATGTTTAAATTAAACAATAAACTACTTTTAAACAGTTATTTTATACTACAATAACATTTACATTTTTACTGTAGTTTTGATGAAAAAAAAAACAGTTTTGGTGAGCAGGAGAAACTTATTTTAAAACATTTAAAAATCATACTGACCAAAACCGGTAATGTGTATTATTTTAAGTATATTTTATTCCCTACAGTCCAGTAACATTCAAAATCCATTCATATTTTATAAAATCATTTTATTAAACTATGTAGTTTTTTAAATATATATTTATCTAATAAAAGAAAAACATTTAGTCTTTATTTGATGTGTAAAATATTTTTAGAAAGATACATACTTTAAATTAAGTTTAAATCAAATTTATGTTATTCATTTGGAGGATAATGGATACTTCACATGGTGGATCATTCAGCTGTGGCGACCCCGGATTAATAAAGGGACTAAGCCGAAAAGAAAATGAATGAATGATACATCAGATCTAAAATCTCAGATATTTTGACCCTGAAGTACATTTGTTGTACAAATATATTTTGGTATATGAAGGTTATGATTAAAAATGATTTTATTATCAAAAGATATTTTTTCTTGAGCCTCACTGTTTTAAAAAATATTTAGCACATATTTTAAATATATATTCTCTCAAAAAAGAAAATTAGCATATGGGTTATGATTAATACATTTTGTTGTTTGCTTTTGGCATCTGACAGTGTCTGGACCCAGAAACTGTGATACAGTGACGTCAGATCGAATGTTCTGCTAGTGTAATCTGTTCAGTCAATGAGTGAGTAACAACATTTACCAGAATTGGAATAAGAGCCAAAAGGTGAGGAAGATGCAAAGTGTTATAAATATAGCCATCATCAAGTAAATATATGCGTCTGGAATTAGTCAAATACTTTTAATATCTTCTTCTAAAGCCTGTAAGCGGATGTACAATTACACAGATGCCCTATTTAGCGCAGGTAAAACATTGGGCTATTAAACCAGAAAGCTAATCCCTGATTTCACAGCATTCATGACCTCATTTCCCTCACAATCATCTGTTTACTTATTCCAGCTACAGCAGTTTAGGGTTACAGATTTTGCAAAAGAGAGATATTTTACTTGCTATTAATTACTACGAATAATTAGAAGTCACTTCCATTTATAGGACTTTTATAGCACAATGCAAATTCAGTAGTTTTCCTCTTGATAAAAAATAACATATAATAAATACATAAATAAATACATTTTTGTATGTTTCTGTGCAAAGAGAATGACATTAATTGCAATTCATTAATATGAGCTGAATCATTGGCAGGCCATCCATGAAATGATTATTTAGTTGTTGTGAATGATTATTAAAAACTATTTCCAGTCACATTTGGAGGAAACAATCCAATTTAATATAAATATACCTATTTTTTTTTTAAAGAATAATTGAATTTCTGAATTAAAATAAAAAGGATCATTATGTCAGTGTGATGCAACTCTACCATTATTTTTAAAATATTTAACAAAATAATGAAATTAATGAAAGTTTTTGGTAGACGTCATAATGTTCTACAATTAGTTTTATAAATCAAGTAATTGAAAACTGAAATTTTGTTTTAACAATTCAGAGTAATGTGGTGCAAACTTATAAATATTAGGGCCGCACAATATATTATTTGAGCATCGTTATCACAATGTGTGCGTCCGCGATAATCACATCACAAGTCAAGAAAGTTTATCATCTGCAAACTGCTTTAAGGCCTTTTTTCTTTGTGAGCATTTTAAGAGAGTTTAAAGCATTTTAATAGTGCATAAAGAAGTTTAATAAAGATTATTTTATTGAATAATTTATATGATGAAGACTGAAAACTTTTCCCAGAGATGGGTTGCGGCTGGAAGGGCATCCGCTGTGTAAAAACGTGCTGGATGGTTGGCAGTTCATTCCGCTGTGGCGACCCCAGATTAATAAAGGGACTAAGCCGACAAGAAAATGAATAAATGAATGAAGACTGAAAACCATGAAGCACTGTTTATTTCATAATATTTGTGCCATTGTGTTTATTTATGACTAGTTTGTGTATGTATTTACTAACTTGTATAAAAATTGATTCATACTTCAGTCCTCTACAAAATCATTCAAATTTAATTGACTGACTTTCCAAATAGAGCTATTTAAATCATCTGGTGGTGGTGCAGTGGGTAGCCTCACAGCTAGAAGGTCACTGGTTTGAGCCTCAGTTGGCATTTCTATGTGGAGTTTGCATGTTCTCCCTGTGTTCTTATGGGTTTTCCCAATGTGAAATCAAATTTGTGATAAATACTACTTATTTTGAAAATTATCTCAATTTTTTCTAAATTCATGAGAAATCAATGTAAATAAGGGGCTTTTGCGCATGGTCTAACAGGGTTGTGCTTTTTCTCTCAATGAGTTATGGGTGTGTTTTGAGCATAACATGCATTAAACCAATCAGAGTCTCATCTCACAACCCCTTTAAGAGTCAGTTATTTCAGGCCATAGCACATTTGTTATTTACAGTGGCGGACTTTGTAAGTGGAACAACTAAACGTGTCTCTAGCAAGACAACAGTTTACCAGTCTGCAGTGCGAGGATAAAGATCAAGCCTCCTCCATTCGGCCACTTTACTTTACTTTACTCTCTACTTTCATGGATAAAGAAACTGTGTTGTACACTCCACTGAAGACATTCATTAGCTTACATATTTAATTTTGTTTGTTAAGCACAAAGATTTGTTTCAAAACTATTTCTAAATTCATTTCTACTTTCCAGCAGACTAATAAATGAACAATAAAAATGAAGTGTGCTCAAAAGATTCAGTTATATCCAAACACAAATCCTATTCTTATGCCAATATATGTAGAAGATTAGACATTTAGAAAATTTTATTCTTTTACTTTTTTATATGTAAAGATATTTGTGTATTAAAGCGATTTGTAAGCGTTTGAACCCACATAGGCACATGGCTAACGGGCTCAGCTCTGGACTTTAGACCTGCTTTTAGATGGTCAACAGTATAGTATTTCAGTTCTTAAAGCTAGCAACACACCAACGATGTGCCTTAATGCTGCGTTCACACCAGATGTGAATGAAGCGTCAAAGGTGAATGATTTACATGTTAAGTCAATGCAAAGATGTGAATAGACATCCTGCGGCGTGATATGCGTGAATAAGGCAGCGCAAATGATGCAATTCACTTGAATGAAGCAGAGTGAGTTGAGTGTTTTGCATGAATCGCTCAAGTAAAAAAATCTGCAGGCATTCGTGACTCTTTAACCAATCAGGAGCTTTCTTTTGCAGGGGCATGTGTATGAGATAGCGCCTGTTGTTGGTGTCCTGGGTGAAAATCTTCTTGCCGATCATTCAGGTATAGTTTCTGGAGGAGTTGATGAGTTCACAGAGATGGGTGCACCTCTGATTAGATCTGGTGGACTCTGCTCTTAAACGAATCAACGCTGTTTATTAGCATTCCTAAAGCACATAAACACAGTGTATGATAGGGTCCAAAGCTTTCACTGCTATTTTTGATTTAACATGATTTCCTAATTTTGCATTATTTTAACACAAAACAACAAGTCAGTTTTTATGACCCAGACCAGACTGTTTTCCTCTACTGATTTCTTCTACTGAGGACATAACAATAAATAGGCAAAACAAGTGCTCTCTGGGTACTTTTGATCTTCATGTCTAAAAATTGCACTTGTAACCTTGAATTTCCCAAAGCTCTCTCAGCAATAATAAGGCAGATCAATCTGCAGGCTCTCGCTAACAATGGACTCTTTCACAGCGCGAGCCTCCTGTGTCGCTAACCTTGCATGCGCGGCAGAATAATTGCACTTAAACGGATGGCCAGGTCATGGCTGCTGGTGCACAGAAACACAAATATTTCCACAGGGGAACCGAAGTATGTATTCTCTCCACTTTGGTGCCCATTTGAACTTGTCCCTATGCAATTTTGTGGTGTTAGCATGCAACTGATGCCTTAAGCTATGCTAATTCAAGTGCCGCTTTTAAACCCCATACAGGTTTTTCCCTCACATAATAGAGATGGCTTGTCCAACTTTAGTTCCCACGTGAATTGAATGGTATTTCAAAAAAATGTGTTTTACGATGACGTTACAATCATCAAGCTTCATCCTTATCTTCCTGTAAAAGTGTTACGGGTGTTTTAGTGCTGTTTTCTTCGAAGCAGAGACTTTTCTTTTAATGCCGTATTTTCTTCATGGTTCGGTTTGTTTTCACAAGGCAGCATTTCAAAGTTCAACAAAATGTGTTTTTGCAGGTCACGTGGGAGGGAAACTGCTCTAATTGGTCATAGGTTCTGTTTAGGTTCATGAATTCAGGCTTTATTTGTAGCTGGTAATACATGCACTTTCCTGAATTTTTTGTAAAAATATAAACATATTTTGACAAAACAAGCAATATAGGCTCATTGGAAATGAGCATATATTTTTGCAAAACTGGAAAAACGTGAAGCATGGTTCTACAAAAAAAATAAATAAAAGCATTGCAAAATCAAGGTAAAACTATGTGGTCACGGTGCATTTTTCTCTTACGTTTGCTTTTAATTTGGTTTAGGGAAAGCTTTATGTCAATAGTTTGCTGGTCTAGGTGATCTATACAACAAGTCTTCTTCTTATGGACCTGTTCAAGAAGGATGTGTACTTAAATGTCCAATAAAATGGATCCAAAGTGGATTTGTCGAACATGCTACCCATTGCGCCACCACATCATCAAAAAAAAAAATTAATTGTGTTTTATAAAAATATAAAGAGGCATCTATTTCCTATGAGCATTGGCTGAAAACAAGTATTAGTCTTGAATTACGAAACCTCCAGCTTGATGGCATTAGGTTTGGACTACATCTCTGCTTTCATTGGCCAAAGTCCAAGCAAGAAGACATGTGATTCCCATGTAAAGTACACTTATTTTTACAATGGGTTTTCACTCACACTATTGTTTTCTTTGTGCCATCATTAGGGACCACTAAAGTGATGCCGCAGCCTATTGGCATATTAAATATAACATTAAACAAAATCAAAACCTGGATGATGCAGAGTGCTGTGATTTGACTTTGTTGTGTTATGTGTGTTCATGATAATTGGTATGTAGAATGTAGACATAAAAGATATATTGAAAGAGCAATAAATTTTACTTAAAATAATACGTATCCCAATTGTAATACTAAAAAGTGATTGTCATTTGCAAAATATTAAATTGATCTTGATATTGAAAAGCTTTGTTTCCAGACAGAACATTAAAAAAGTCTGACATTGATGTCTTCAGAAAATCTTTTAGAATTAAATCGAAAGGCATCTTTGACATTTTTGAGGTTTTATTTAGTGAGCCTTTATGCATCCGAATGGGTGGTAAATACACTGCAGCACCCAAAGAATCAGACACTACTGCTTTTTACATAACACACTTCCCATTATAACTTTTGGTCGGCTAAATTGCTTTCTAACCACAACTGAACCACCACAGAGTTCTCAGTAGGGCTAAAACCACCTCAATTCGGTCTGGTAGGGATCCATTTGTAATTCCTGTGTTCATGTGCACAGAAATAAAGGTACAAAAGCTGTCAATAGGCACACATTTGCACTCTTTAGATACTAATATATTCTTTTAAAGTACCAAAATGGAGGGTTTTAGAAAAGGTCTTGCCTCAGTGACAATCGTCTCTTTAGAGTATATTTCAAAACATCCCAAACTAAAAGAAAAAGTATGCCAAGTTCTAAAAAAAAGGTCATATGTCTAAACTATGTTCCTCCATGAACAGGTTTTGACACCCCCTGCCCCAGTACCATTGACAGTAGTTTAAATGGTTTTACCTTGTTGATGTGGACCTGTTGCTGGTACTGTTTCTGCTTCTCCAAGAAGCTCTGATGTTGCTGCTGAATCACAAGTTGAGCTAATGTGCTCTGGGGCAGCGGAGCCGACTGGGTGCGATTCAGGGGCCGGTGACGAGGCAGTTTGGGTCGGGTGCTGCTTGGAGAGTTTTCCATCATGGCCAGCGGAGAGGGTGGATGCACAGGACTTTGACCTATATAAAAACATATAGATCAGGTATAGATTAACACCCTGTGTGATGTCAAAAAGAAATGATTACACTAAATGAAGAAGTTGTTTGAATTGTCTTGTCCACTTTTGATGAGTTGTAGAAGTAGTTGAAAACTCATTCAAATTTAAATGGTTTGTGGTCAAATGCATCCAGACAGCCACAAAAGACCACCTACTCACTGAAAACATGTGTTAATCCACTTGGAAATAGGGCCCTAGAGGTGCGACTATGCTCAAGTTGTTAACAAATCATACTTTGAGTATGTTCTTTTCAAAGAATTGGTTAATCCAGTCTTACAATTATTTGAATCGTTTGTTTAAATATGTTACTGCAATAGATCACATTGGTCTACCATTTAATAGCAATGTAAGCTGTCTAGTTTTAAAAATTATTTCAAATTTAAAAAATTCATGATGTGTATTCCAGCCTTCAGCCTTAAGAACTCATATCCCAAACTGCACAAGTCAAGACAAGTCAACTACTTATTTCTGTAATGGTTTATACAATGTTGATTGTGTCAAAGCACAGCTTTCCATGAATGAACAGAACAAAAACCTAATAATAAACATAGTATGCTCATCATACAAAGCATATAAATTCAGAATACTTTTTTTAAGCTTAAGGCATATAGTTCCTATATATATATATATATATATATATATATATATATATATATATATATATATATATATATATATATATATATATATATATATATATATTTTTTTTTTTTTTTTTTTTTTTTTTTTTTTTTTTTTGAGAGTAAAGAAAGTAAATTGCCTGGAACAAGCAATGGCAGAATATCCTTTTTTTTTTTTTTTTTTTTTGATATTGTGTCAATTGTGATTGGTCTACTGCTTACAGTGCATTTTGGAAACTATGGACATTACCATTTTCAACAGGATGCTTCTTTTTACACAGTAAGGAATATGTTCAAGACATTGTATTTCACTTGTATCTGTGATTATTTAATATACATTCTGCAATAATCTGTAGTTCACATTAATTTGTGTAAGCTTTTACTACAAATAAATGTGTTTGTTGGAAAACTCTGTATTAATTATAATTTGGCAGTTCAAAATGGCCAAACTTACACAGATATTCTTACAGATACAAGTCTCTGTGAAATCAAAATGTACAATATTTATGTTGTGTGTGCTTGTTTATGCTAAACAACGGTAAACAATTAATCCAAGCAAGTTAAAACACTGAAAAAAAAAATGTGTTAATCTTCAACGAAAGTCTGAGCATTTGGTTTTGGTGTTTGGAGTGGTTGCTTATAATGTTGACATGAGTGTTATGGCTTCAGCCACTATATTCTTAACCATGTCTTCTTGATGTGCTTTATGTGAATGATGCACAAACAGAAAGCCCTTCACTCTACTCAATATTCCCTTTTAGTCTAAAGTGCATCAACATACTGAAATAAAAGTCTCAGAAACTTTGTGTAGACTTTAAAAACAGAGGTTCCAAAAAGAGGGTTTTTGCAGTGATACTGTAGAATAGTGGTCTCAAACTCAGTTCCTGGAGGGCCACATCTCTGCATAATTTAGCTTCAACCACCAATCCAGCTCACACCTGCTTAATAGTCACTGGTAGTCTTAAACACCTTGATCAGTTGGATCAGCAGTTTGATTAGTGCTGCAGTTCTTACTCATTTTGCTTGCCTATAGGTTAAATTTTAGCACTCAAGTAACCAAAATGTAACAAGAGAATACGGTCATTTTTCAAAATAAAAGATTTTTTCAAAATAAATGATCGTTCGGGCTCAGATAATAACAACAGACACAAATAATGATTTTTTTGTGCGGCCCAGTACCAATTGGTCTATAGTGGTCTGTTGCCCGAGGATTGGGGACCACTGCTCTAGCACGTATCACCACACACCTCTTTCTCTAGTTCTGCATCAATTGAATTGATTTTTATCTGCTGATGACGCGATGCACTAAAGTAAACATTCTATGCACAGTGATTTGATTGTAGGCTTTAGAGAACAGCCAATGCTGATCACAATGGTGTTATCGCGAGCATCAAATTATTAAAATTGTATACATTTTTTCTTTCATTACTCAGTGATTCCTCTGTGTACCAAGTAAGCTCGCGTACCACTAGCTGTAGACGTACCATAGTTTGAGAACCACTGCTATAGAAGAAGCATTCCTCAAATAAACTTTCAGTAATTGCTTTTTAAAATATCATCTATTTCTAAGTCTTTAAGAAGTACTCTGGTTAAAATCCTAAATGTATTATAGGCTATGATGATCTGACCAGAAGAGAGGATCTTTTGGTGCCGGAGTTGCTCCTTCTGGAGGAGGTGCTGCAGGAGAGCTTGGTGGCTGCTGCTCACTTTGGTCTCCATAACAGACAATGGAACTGGACCCAGAAGTTGGGTTGGCAATCCTTGAATGACCGCTGATACGGCACCATTATCAACATGCTTCTCCTGAAGACCTAAAGCAGCCTGACAGAAGACAGAGAGAACATTGACTACCTGCAAAACTGCTTAATATACTAACTCAATCTCACTGCAATTCATAACTTTTTGATTTAATGGCTCATTTACTGTAAAACCCAATAAGTTAAGGCAACTCAAACCATTTGAGGAAACCGAATACAACAAATTAGTTAAGTTCAAAAACTAATCCTATATCAGTACTGTGAACTTAATCTATTTGAGTAAAGGAAGCAATCTGAGCACAGTTAAACCCCATAAATGAAGAGAACTCAAACCAACTGAGTACTGTTAAACCCAATAAGTTAAGGCAACTCATACCAATTGAGGAAATTGATTGCTGCAAACTATTTGAGTTAAAAAAAACTAATCTATATGAGTACTGTGAACTTTATTTAAGGTAAAGTATTGAGGTATTTAATTAACTCATTACCTTCAACAGTAGAATTAACTTTCAGTAGATTTTGAGTTACCTACACCCATTTCAGTTGATAAAGTTGACTGTTGGGTTTTATAGTGTATGAATAAACATTAAGATTAAGCATTATTTGGAGTTCTGCTTGATTGTTCTAGTTTAGCTGGTCTTTAAACAGCGGTAATGGATGAGGTGAATGGGGAGGACTGGAGTGCAACCGACACCAGACACTTAAGCACAATATTTATCTAAGGCCTATAAAATCCCCCAAAGTCAAAGGCCAGAACCCTGAGGCTACACATATCATCCAGTCAGCCAGTGATGGCTAGTCTTTCAACAGTCAAAGCAATATACAGCTGAGCCAAGGCCATAAACTACATTTCCCCTCATTTATCAGAGTAAACATCCACATTAAGGTCATTACAATTAAAGCAGTATTGGTGAGTCTATATTTGGGAGTTTAAAAGATAAATAAATTGGAGGAAAAAAAATTAAGTTGTGTTTACACTAAACACGACACAAGTAAATCATATGAAAAGTATTACATGTTTAAAAAGTATTATTATACAACACAAACAAATGATAATAGTAAAACATTTTTGTGCTACTCTCTTTAAAATATAAAAAATAAAGTGCAGTAACACTAGAATATTCTATAATAAAAATTATAGCTATTTCATAGTATACTTGAAAATACAAAACAAATATTTTAACTATTTATTAATTATTTTTTTACAACATTAAAACTTTCATCATTTCTAAACCTAAAAATCTTTTTTTTTTTTTTTTTTTTTTTGGCAATCGCTGGTAACTAAATAGTGTGTGCATTGCCATTTAAAGTGAACTATCACAGTTTCATATTTAGCTGTGAAACTGCCAGCGCATAACAATAACATCTTTGCATATCTATCATGCATAATCGCAGTTGGTTGACCTAAAATAGAAACATGACTGTCAACTCTGTCGTTATGCAAATGCAAAGTCTAAATTTATTTTCTAAGCCTATACTTATTTCAGTCTAGTATGCGCATCTGCATTCTATTTGTGTGCATCCCTATATGTATATCTATATATGAAGTTCTATGAAAGAAGATTCATGTCGTTTCTTGACTTACACTGATGGGAGAAGAGGCAGCCGAGAAACCCAGAGAGATATTGGGCAGCGATGGAGACGTATAGAGATTTAACATAGACACTGAGCTTTCAGGCCCTAATAACCTCGACTGTGACGGCCACCGCTGTGATGGAAAAAGAGAGAGAGAGAAAGAGAGAAAGAAAGGGAGGAAGGGCAGAGAAAAAGAGAGATATTTTGAAATCCCACTATGGACCATTGGAAAGAGCAACAGCACCAGAACAATAAACTTTAATGTACTAAAACGAATGACGGTTTTGTTCCTGCCACAGCGGAGCAGTATGAGCTCAACTGGAGGACACCAAGCCAAGGCCACAGAAATGGAAAAAAATCCCACAAATCCAGACCTGTTTCCCAGTTGATATCAAAATGAGGAGTTTTTTTTTATCAGTAGGAGCAATTTATTAATCCTTCAAGTTGAACACAAATTAATTGTGAATTAAAAAAGAGGGTAACACTTTACAATAAGGGTGCATTAGTTAACATTAGTTAATGCATTAGTTAACATGAACTAACAATGAATAACGCATTTATTAAGCATTACCTAACCTTTGTTAATGTTAACTAATGCATTAGTAAACATGATCTAACAGTAATTAAGGACTTTGTTCAGCATTACTTAATCTTTGTTAATGTTTATTTACACATTATCTAATGCATCTCTTTACATGAACAGCTTAATTAGTTCATGTTTACTCACTCATACACTAACACATTTGTTTATGTATTAGATCACTTGATCTTATAATGAACAACACATTTATAAAGCAATACTGAATCCTTGCTCATGAAAACTTCCAATGTTAGTTAACGCGTTAGTTAACATGAACAACATGTTAGCATAATTGGTAAAGCTTTTAATAAGTGCATAGTTCCTGATCAATGTCAGGGAAAAAGGAGGACTCTTTTGGAGTGTATTACATCAGAACCTCAGCTTTAACTGTTATTCATGTTTGCTAGCACTTTACTAACATGATTTATCATTAACAAAGCATTTATTCATAGAATTATGATCCTTATTGTAAAGTGTACACTATTTCAACATTATCTAATGCTTAAGTAACGTTAATTAACACTTTACTAACATGACTTATCATTAACAAAGCATTTATTAATAGAATTATGATCCTTATTGTAAAGTGTACACTATTTCAACATTACCTAATGCACCCTTATTGTAAAGTGTTACCAAAAAGAGTTTACATAAGGTGGTTTTTCAGACAATTTAAAAAGGGAATTTTTTCCACAAAACCTCAACTGAAATTAACCTTTCTTGACACATTTTACAGGTCATTTGGTTTATGTACAGTAAAAAATACATAATCATCATTTAGATGGTTAGATATTTTTCCTGATAGATATTCAGCCATATAAATACAGAGAAAAAAATCACAAATATACACTCCAAATACTCTACAGAAGGAATGAGGAGAAAAGCCTGATTAATAAAATGGTTACTGTATAACAATGCCATAAAAGTAGGCCCACACGGAATCTGCGCGTGCAGATTTCCGCAGATTTTTAGCCGATCATTGAATCTGTTTATTTACTTGTGAAAATGTGTGTAAATTTATATTTATTCGGTTTTTAAATTATTTTAGTAATATTATTGACTAATATGAAAATGTTAATATAATTTATTTAAGTCATATTTTCTCTCTTTTAGTAGAAATATTTTGTAGAAGACTTGCTTTGCTTACCAAATAAAGTGGATCTAATTGGATTTGCATTGTAAAGAGTAAATACAAGTAAAAGGGTATTTCATTTTATTTCATATATTATGGTTTTAGTTATGATACTCCCAAAATAGTTCTGTATAAATCAGATGTATAAAGATTTTTAACAAAATTCTATGCAGAAATAGCAAAACATTTCAGCAGATTCCATCTGGCCCTACATAAGTACATCTTTGCCTAAGCTAAATTATCCAAAAAATATGTAAGTAAATAAGTTTCACAATTCAACCAATAATTTAAAGTTTTCAACACTATTGAAGGTAAAATAATACAAATATAAATAAAAAAATCTATCAAAATAAATGAAGGTCAACGGAAAGTCCTGGTGCCAACATAGTATAAAATTGGGCCAGATACAGTACAGTATATTAAAAGATATAACTATGGCTCTATTGGACTGCATAACAGGGTTTGTCTTGGCATTAAAGGGACAGTTTGCCCAAAAATTTTAATTTTGTCATCATTTACTCAATGTAAAAAAACGGACATTGACTTCCATAGTATTTTTGTTCCAACTATGAATGCCAGTGGCGGCTTTTTTCCAATATTTTTTGGATCTTGTTTTGTGTTCAACTGAAGGAAGAAATTCATAAAATTGACATGAAAACATGAAAAAATATCGAAATAGATTTATACAAACATGTAAATGATTGAATACCCTGTACTATTGAATCCTTCCATTCTATTACTGAGCAATGATTAAATGTTGAACCTTACCAAGCTACAAAAAGCTGTTTGGGTGATTGGTTTACTTCTACAAAACAAATTACTAGCCCAACATTGGCTGCTTCCAGATAAGTTGGACACGTACAAGTGGTTGGTACAACTTCAGGACATAAGTTTTAATTATCCACAGCTCAAGTGAACTTGGTACAAATAAGTTAAATAAGGATCTGGAATTCAGATGCTGACAAAATCTTATTGCACAAAACAATGATCAGGATCAAGAATGATTGCCTTATTTTGTATGAATGATACATGATACTGTACTTTGTTTTTTCTGTTAACTTCTATTCATTGGATACCCCAGTTTAAAGAGAATGGAGGGGAGGGAGGTGGGAGTAGTTGTATTATTTTATTTTATTATTATTTATTATTATTATTTTTTTTTTAGCCTGTATGTTTTGTTAACAATAATAAAAATAAAACAAATTTGTAATTGAAACACGCCATTGGTGTAAAGTAAAAAAATACAAATACTCAAATTACAGTAATTGAGTACATTTATCAGGAATGGTAATTTACTAAATAGTTTGATAAATGTGTACATTTACTTCCCTTGAGTACATTTTTTGTGATGTATCGGTACTTTTACTCCACTATTATCCTTCTACCTGCAGTCACTACTTTATTTTTTGTCTCTGTGGATTGGCTAAAGTAGATTAATCAGTCCTGTGACTCTTGTTCAATCAAATCACACATGGAATGTAAACTGCATCATGTTGAACAACTGCAAGACATTGCCGCTTCATAAACGCAACAAACCATTAGGAAGCATGTGCAAGAACGTATCTAAATGTTTACATGCAATGATCGAAAGACTTTATAGACTGCATGTCATTGATGAGAAGATGGATGTTTATTGTGTGAGGACTGAAACCACCAAATGCCCTTAATCAATTACTAATGCACAACAGAATGTTACGTTTACACATCTGTGTACAAATTGCATGCAAACGCATGAGCCATTCACATCTTAATACTCACTACCCTTGAGTACTTTAAAAAGGGCTACTTTTACTCCTGCTTTGAGTAATACTTACAACAGTAATATTTACTCTACTTGCACTACATTTTTGGGAAAGTAATGGTACTTTTACTTGAGTATGATTTTTCAGTACTCTTACCATCACTGAAACACACCTATTATCTTAGAAAGCAAACTGATCAGTTGTGAACTGTACTTCCTTCTCTGGGTGGTGCGGCTCATCAGCATGTGGCAGAGAGACGGTACGGTTTTACTGTTTACCCTCCAATCCCTCCTGCCTGTTCACTGACCTAATGTGGAAATCCGGCCTTATTTGACCCAGGGGACCAGTTGCCTCTGAAAGAAGATACCTAATGTAACGGATTACAAACACGTCTCGCTTTCGAAACTGGTGCGGAGTGTCTACCCTGTCCCAGAGACCTCAAGCTTATGTCAATATAATAGCGATCGCCCGTATTTGTGTTGTTAGCATGTCTTTGGCTACCAGCGGCTGGTGGATCAATTAAGCTCCGCCACCCACTACCTCGACCCTGGATCGCAGTGCAATAAGCATTCCTTGTCGGCTATTGCAAAGGAGGTTCATGGGAGTGTAAACAGTGGTGTTGAAGAATAACACAGCTGCTGAGCTGAGGCTTCACAGAGACATGTCACATTTGCCCAGAATACACCTCTTTGTGCGCAAAGTCTATGGGGACCTGGGAGAACTGAGCCATGAAGCTACCAGGAAGTGAGTCAGAGGGAGCTAATGAACATCGGAGGAAAGGGAAAAGCCCTATACATGTTCCTAAAGGAATATTATGGCTTCAGTACAAGTTACATTTATTTGACAATAGGGCTGCATGATTTGTGGATGGGGGAACAAAAATGGCTTTTTTTTACTTTTTTATTTTTGTCATTTTAATTGCAATTTAAAAAGTGAGAGTACACTGAAAAAAACGGAAAATAACAGCCATTAAATTACAGAAATTCACTGTAAAATAACAGAAGTTGAATTACAGAAATTTACCAAAAAATTAAAATGAAGGACATTTCTGTAATTTAATATTCGTTATTTTATGGTTTATTTTTGTCATTTAATGGCCGTTATTTAACTTTTCTTTTTCTGCACCCCAGCTGCCAAATATAACTGTAAAATTGCAGATTTCATAGGCTTTATGTTCTGTACACACAGTATATTTTGTACTCTTCCTCCCTAAACCCAGCCCTCATAGAAAATATTTTAATTTTCATTTTAAAACTACATGTTTGGTGTCATTTTTGAGCCGATTTCCTAACGGGGACCACATTTTCCCTAAAAGGTCAACATTTACTTGTATTCTTGTGGTGACATTTGGTACAAATAAGATGACGGTTTGGCTTTGGTACCTAAAAAGAAAGTGAATGGGATAAATGTTTTGACAATTTTAAATAAATGTGTTACTTCTCAGAAACATTTCCGATGTTCTTTTAAATGATGTGTACGATACAGAAAATATTGTTTACTCTACTATTAGCTAAATTTTCCCATCATAAATCACTCATATTTGTGAAAGGGTATATTTTTATAATTAGTTATGTTTATATTCATTTTGTGATGATGCCACAGGGGCTGCTGATTGAGCTGAAAGTGCACCTCTTTTACCGTTTCCACATGCCTGTCAGAGTGTGCCTCAATCTCAGAATCGGCTGCATCAGATAAACAGTGACAGACATGAAGGAAGCAGATTTTACGTAACATTTGTGAGAAACACTACAGTAAGAACATTCCCAGTGAGTATTTGATGTGTTTGTTGTGGAGTTAATTCAAAGTCTTTTGATGAGTCTGACACAATGTATTTACAAAGTTCACGCGCACACAGAGCACACACACAAAGTATGCACGTTTAACTTTGCACTTTTTTTGCACTTTGAAAGGATATAGATTTAAATCCACCACTGTATGGATATTCGTTATGTTAATGTACAAAATAAACCTCATTTAACGTCCACAAACCGGGATCGAAGCATCTTTTATAATTGTACTGACATGCGGCTGTGGTGATTAAAACAATAAAAAAACATGCACGGTTTAAATAAAGTTTTAAACTTGTAAAACTTTTGATCACCTTTGCTGATGACTGATGATCACAGAGAGCTGAACAGATCTTTTAATCCCAATTGTTTTGCGCACGTTTTGTCTTGTTGATATGATTATACGCATTACTACAGAGACATGTTAATATGTGGCTGTAAATCAATTTAGTGGATGGGAAACCGCACTCCTATGTCATGTTGCAGTGGGCCACAAAATATGAGAGATTTGGATTCTATTTTAACGCCAGGAACTTTAAAAAAGAGACTTATTGTATTTCTATCACTCCAATATGACTGTGGACATATTATACCTGCACACAGCTTACAAAAGTTGACTTTCATCATAGGTGCCCTTTAAAGGGATAGTTTCCCCTAAATTAAAAATTACTGACAAATTTCTCTTGCTCCTAAAGTGGTTGAAAACCTGCTTATTTTATCTGTTTTTACACAAATAAGATATTTTGACTAATTTGAAAACTGGTAGTCACTGACTTCCATGCTATGACAAAATAGTTTTTTTCTATTTTTTTTTTCTTCAGAAAAAAGAAACTCACCTAAGTTTGTAACCAATGGAGGCTGAGTTAATAATAGCTGAAAATCTCTTTAACTTGCACTGAATTTACAATATTCCTTTGATATGCATTCTATATTAAACGTTGAGCCCTGAAGTAACATTGTCTAAAGCAGCATCTGATCTTTACTTTCTCACTGTGAGCTTTACGAGAGCTGCCGGGACAAAAAACCACAAAGCTCCGCTAGTAAAGGTTAGCGGTAAGGAGCAGTGGTTTGTGGGAGGAAGTGAACTGACTCTTTATTGTCCGTTCCGGGAGTCGTTTTCATTGGACTGGGACAGACATGCAGGTCACAGGCTGCAGAGACAAAGCAGTGTTTTCATAGCTGCACGAGGACAGACTGGGCTTGTGTCGAGGAAATTTATGGTGCGGCCTGGTGACCATCAACCTTTCTTCTAGTCCTACAGGTTCTGATGTTTTAGAAAGCTTTGAAGAGGCAGAGAACACCAAACTGTTCATAGACTACTGGTGTGTGCGATAAAGCATGTTTAAGATAAGTACCTCAGTCCGTGTGGTGACTGGTAGTGAAGAGGGTCCGTTTTCAGCCCCCAAGGCACTGCAGGCCCCGTTGGGAGAACTGGGCCCTGATCCTGGAGCACTGCTGCTGGCGGTGGATTCTGGAGAACATTCAATAAAACACACGTATAGTCATATATATATATATATATATATATATATATATATATATATATATATATATATATATATATATTTTTTTTTTTATTTCCCAAATGATGTTATTGAAACTATTATGTTTAGAAATGTGTTGAAAAAATCTTCTCTCCATTAAACAGAAATTGGGGATAAAATAATAAACAGGGGGGCTAATAATTCTGACTTCAACTGTATATATATATATATATATATATATATATATATATATATATATATATATATATATATATATATATATATATATATTTCAGACTTTAATTCAGGTAATTTAATTAGGAAAAAATAGAAAAATTAATGACAATAAATGGTATGTATGAAATAGGGTGGCATTTTTTGATTGATATAATGTTTGACTTTGCCTAAATATTTTTTTTTTGTTTTTTTTTTTTTTAAGCTAAAAGGCCCGGTTACTCTCTGAAGCCAAACACGGCTGAGCCTGGTCAGTATCTGGATGTGAGACCACTTAAGAGGGGTCTGGATGCAGACCCCGTGCGGTGCAATCTGAGCTGCATCCAGTGCTTTTTAATGGGCTCACCTAACCGAACCCCTAACCCTACCCATCACAGTGACGTCACTAGCTCCATTTGAATGGATTTTGTCTGACATAGCATTGCTGAGTGATGCAATCTCAGCTTGCATCATAAAGGCTGCATCTAGATACTATTGGACCACTTGGGAAAACTAGGTTGCTGTCAAGTAACTGATACACACAAACAAGTTATGCACAATTAATTCATAAGTTCATAACTGACTGTTTAAATGAACAAAATTAAAAAAATATAATGACAGAATATCCAAAATACGCATATTGCAATCATTCATTGTATTTTTTTTTCAATTTATCCATCTATTTATTTATTTATTTTATGTTTTTTTATTGTTATTTATTAAGTAATGAATGAATGAACTAAGGAATAAATTAATGAAGGAATGACACTTTAAAATATTTTAAAAGTTATTAGCACTTCAGATACATCTTAAAAGATATTGACTGATATCTGGCAATCAGCAAAAGGATGTTGTCTTCTTTGGCATATTTACAGATCTACCAGATGACAATCTTGCCTTCCAAAACCAACCACCATCTGCAGCCACTTGCTCCATTACAAAAGTACATAAGCAACCAAAATACCATGGAAAAATCATTCAACCGACCAAGGCTGAAAACCACACTGGATGACACCTGCCAGAGCCGCTGTTACATAACAACATGAACAAAATGAAACAGAATACAGCCAACCAGTCAACGCACAAACAGCAGGACATCACATGTACTGCATCCTCATTCGTAAAATAGTATTAAAAAAACTACTTGTTTACTTAAATTGAAGTGTCTCATTGAGTATTGCAAAATTACCCCAAGAGTCTAACGTTTCCAATAAAAATTTTAACTGCAGATCTGTACACACTAATGTCAAAAGCCGCCCACATCTCATTTTGACTCATCAAGACTGATGGTTAGGGCCAGACAGAATCTGCAGACAGTTTTTGCAATTTATGCGCAAAATTTTGTTAAAAAAAAAAAAACTTAGCTTTTATGCAGAATGATTTTGGGAGTATTGTAACAAAAAACGAAATTTATATAAAAAAAATTAAATAAATAAAAAAAAATATATATTTTTTTTATTTAATGTTTACAATGCAAATCCAATTAGATCCACTTATTTGGTAAACAAAGCAAGTCTCTCATATGATATTTCTACTAAAAGACAGAATATATTACTTTACAAACTGTATTGTAAATAAATCAAATGAACATTTTCAAATTAGACAAAAACATTACTGAAATTCATTAAAAAACTGAATAAATATGAATGTACACACATTTACAAAAGTAAAGAAATAGACATAATGATGGGCTAAAAATCTGTGGAAATCTGTGCAGATTCTGCCTGGGCCTACTGATGGTTAAGTGGCAAATACTTCATTCACGTAATGTAGTAATTACCATACTTTTGAGGTGACAACACATGAGTTTCATCTCTGAGCTGTTGACATTCTCGGACTGAGGATTACAGTATTTAACTGTAATATGAACTGTATTCTACTGTATGACAGTTCAGTAGTAAATCACTGCGAAAATTACTGTATATTTTACTGTAAAGTTATACATTACTGTGAATGCATATACAGAAAGATAAATAGTGCTGTACATGTCAATACAGTATTTATTGTGTAACTGATTTACAGTAAGATTGTACACAAATTCATGGGTAATCAGCTATACTAATAGAGAAGACTTCATTCCAATCAGGAATCTGTTTTTATATTACTGTGACGGTTGGGTTTAGGGTTGATGTATAGGGGGTAGACGTTATAAAATACAAGTAATAGGAAATGTAATAATATAATAAATAATATTTACGGTTAATCTGCTATACTAATAGAGAAGACTCCAGATCCAGATCTATGTTTACATCACTGTGAGGGTTGGGTTTAGGGTTGGGGTACACATTAATAAAATACAATTAATGGAAAATTTTATAAATACTATAAAGAATTCTTGCTATCTTCCGGCCGTAGCAGTATGTGGTCTATAGCTGATTTACCATGTGGATGGATGGTAATAGCCTTCTGAGCCTACCAGTAGGCGCAGAAGACCCCTACTAGGCCATATCTATCAGCCAATAACCACCGATAACGCACATTCAATTGAGTAACATTCGAGTCGTCTGATATAAAAGGTGAATTGGGATGCAGCAATTGTTTGTGTTTTGTAATGTGTCAAATGTACTTTAAAAAGTGTATGAATTTGTTTCTTTTTAATGCAATAAGTATTCTTTGCTTAAAAAAAGTAAACTCGTTGCCTTAAAATTATTAAGTAACAGCATAATTGTTTTTTTTTTTTTAATTGGTTTACTAATTTTTTTTTAGCAAAGTCAACTGTTGATTTTATGGCAATGGATTTACTCACTTTTTTTAAGAAACATAACTAGTTGCTTTTTTACAGTGTATGAGGTGCATTAGAGGAAGATACACATACCCAACAGCTCCAATGCTCTCTTTTTGAAGGGTGTCATGATATTGCCCTCTTTCCTCCGTAGAAGGGGACTGCTCCTCCTCTCCGCAACCTTCTGCTTTAACCTGGAGCGCACCTTCAGATTGGGCTCGGACACTGGAAACAAACAGGGAAATCAGATGTTTAGGATCATGTGTTGTGTGGTAGAAACTACTACTGTAGTGGGGAGACTACAGAACATTTCAACTAAATGTATATTTTTTAGTAAAGTTTCATTATTATTATTAATTTTATTATTATTATTATTATTACTATTATTAGTATTGTTATTATTATTATTATTAGTAGTAGTAGTAGTAGTAGTTGTTGTTGCTGTTGTTGTAGTTGTAGTAGTATCAAGCAGTGTTAAGTATCATTGACATACAGTATTGTGACTTGTATTAAATAATTTGTTTATATAATTTCAGTTTTAGCAATTCTGTCTTTTTTGTCATTTTACTGAATGTAAGTTTTTTAATAATTATTATTTCAATTTATTAATTAGTTATTTTAATTTAAACAAAAGAAAATCTACATATTTCCTCAGAAATTAACTGAAGGAAGTTTTGTTTAGTTAATACTTATTTTTTTAACAAAATCGTTTGTAGTTTGACTGTTTAGTAACTATTTAAACCCTGCTTTTTTAATGTTATTAATTCATATTAAAATATCATAAATCATTTATTCAGACATTTTTCACAGACCATTTAATAAGCCATGTTGACATGCACTTTAAAGTGCACTTTTTAACTTTTTAATTATTACTTATTTTGTTCTTTCTAGCAGTGGTTAAAGTAACAAATATATTTAGCAGATATATTGGTAAGGGGAAATGTCATGCCACACCATATCTATGAAAAATACATTATTGTGAAACATACAAAAACAAAGACTGCAACAACAGAAAAGGACATTGACATCATATTGAAATGACACTGTATATTGAGAATTTCCAACATCACTAAAAGGCTGTTGAATTATAGAGAAGTGTGTTTTATGACTGTAATGTTCATCTCTGATGGGAAGTGAGTGAGCAAAGCAGCCACCCACATTCACTGCCTCCCTTTGGGAAACACCCACATTACACATAAAACATTGGTCTTGTTATAATGTGTGCATTTTTTTTCCCTTTCAGTTCCCTATTGTGTAATAGTATAACACTGCCAAGTGTGCAGGTACTTTGTAGAAGAGAGATTGCTTGAAAATAAACAGCAGTTATCTTGTTACTAATGTAAAATTAATATATACATATACGTATAAACGTGCTGGATAAGTTGGTGGCTTTTTTTCGCTGTGGCGACCCCGGATTAATAAAGGGACTAAGCTAAAAAGAAAATGAATGAATGAATGAATATTGCCATCAATTATTATCTACTTTGCATGGTCACATTTTAGTTAAAATGTTCCTACAAGTTCAATTAATAAACCGTTAACTATGATTAACTTGTAATTTGCTGCTTTAGTTATAAAGTTATTATTTTGGTTGGTAGCATTAGAATAAAATCATGCAGAAAAAGTACTTTATAAGCACTAATAAACAGCCAGTTTCTTATTGTTATTTTATTTTATTTTTTTGCAGGCAATAAGTCACTAGTTAAAAGTGAGAATTGGTATTTTAAAGTGTTAACACTTAATAAACTCTTATTATATATTATATCATAAGTCATAAAATTATATGAGTTTTCGCATTCTAACAATTATAATTAGTAGTTTCTATATATTATATTACATTATATTATATTATATTATATTATATTATATTATATTATATTATATTATATTATATTATATTATATTATATTATATTATATTATATTATATTATATTATATTGCAATACAATTATACAACAAATTTTCCTCACTCATAGTATGACATACATGTGAGCTCTTTATTTGCAGTCCTCCAGTTAAGAACTTACAATCTTTCTGATTTTAGAAGCGCTGACTAAAAATACGCACGAGCTGTATAAGTCCACGAGAAATGACTTAATATGACAAGAAGGAGACACATCTGTAAGCAGCAATGGTGATCTCAACTGGACCACAGGCCGCTCAACTATTTTCAGGCCTTCTCCTGAGTATCAGAAGCAGGTCTGTCTGCTTCATCCAGCAGTGCAGTGCTAATGGGATGTAAATCCCTCTAGTGCAGCGGGCTGAGAGCGAACTGCAGGGAACCCGCCTCGTGCCCCACACAGGCCTGATTGCCTGCTATTTTTACCTCTGTCACCACAGGAAAGCTGCCCTGCCGATGTGGAGGTGGAGGAGCGATTGTTTGGTGGCTTTAGGAGGAGGTTGTGATCGTGATGCTATGGAGAAACACATCGCTTTCTGCTAAAAACAGCCGTCATCATCAATCTGACGGAGCGACAGATTCGACACCTGCTTCATTTTTCTCCACGCTGACACAGAGAGTGGAAGCAGAGGCCAAGTCAAACATGCATATGAATGAGCAGAGCTTTAACAGGCCCATAAATCAATCATATTATTACATTTGAATGCATTATATTGTTATATAAATTTGTATGTGTATATAGCATAAATGAGTGCACTGTCTTTGAAAATGTATATTTTTATCCTTTTTAAAGTGATTATAGACATAAAAAAATGTGTTTTAATAATTTATATACATAGTATTAATAAACAAATATATTTATTAAATGAAAAGTGTGGTCATTGTTTAAATTAAATTAAATTAAATTAAATTAAATTAAATTAAATTAAATTAAATTAAATTAAATTAAATTAAATTAAATTAAATTAAATTAAATTAAATTAAATTAAATTAAACTTCCACTTTTAGAAAATGTTATTGTGTCCCTAACACTAAAACAAATAATTTATTTATTTATTTATTTATTTATTTTTATAATAACCTTTATCGACAAAAGGTCAACCTAGTGGACAAAATTAAGTTTAGTTCCTTTTGTTACCTTTTTAACTAATTATTATATTTGTAATTGTTTTGATAAGTTACTATTTTTTACATGTATATTCCCTCAATATGTATAATAATGTTAATATTAAAAGTATTATATCCTATTTACTTTATTTATATTTTTATCTGTTTATACACTTACATACAGTGTATGTCCTTTAATCAACTTATTAATTGATTATTGTCATCATATTTCTATCATATTATAACTTTTATCCCAATGCACTCTGTTAATGTGCGACACCTGCTTGGCTTTTCTTTCGCAGACTGGAAGCAGAGGCCAAGTCAAACAGAAGTATGTATGAGGCAGAGCTTTAACAGGCTCATAAATCAATCATATTATTATATTTGAAAGCAGTACTGGAGGGCAAACACTACTGACTGATGTTTACTGGGCAGACTGAACCTGAAGACCAAGTTCACTTCGGAGTTGTGTGGTCTATTAAGTGTCTGAACGGTGTAAAGAGTGTATGAGATGACAAAGACAATTTCTGCTAAAATGTAAGTAAACATTGCTAAATGAATAAATTATTGTTGTACTGTGAAAATTCTCATAACTATTAGCATTAATAACTAAAATTGAATGAATAGCAGTGCAATATGGTTGTATATCGGCACTGGTGGGAGGCGTATGTTGGCTCAAGGCCACTGGCCAAGTGGTTTAGTGTTCCACAAGTGATGATATACAGCCATATTGCACTGCTATGAATGTGATATTGCGTTTATACAACAGTTTGATGGCATAATCGTGTATATTAAAAGAAAATCAAACTCAGAGAGTCTAAAAACCCTTTTGCATAAGGAACTACTTTTTCCGCCATTCATTCACATCTGCAGCTCTCACGTCAGAAAAGCAGAAACAGTTGCTCATTCACAAACGTTACTTTAGAGCTCGTATTTGAATGATTCTCTAGCACAATGTCCAAAACAGGTGATTTTGCTCACATTTTAAGATTATAAGGCTAAACGGCATAAAATGCCTTCAGTCTTCAGATATTTCCCATATTTCTCTTGCAATCAGAAGCAGTGTTGCTAGACTGGGTGGTTTCCCGGTTTTGAATTTGAGTGTGCAGGTAAAAAATGGCATGGGCAAGTTGACAAAATTGGTCACACTTTACAATAAGGTAAACAATACATAAAAGTTAAAAAGCTATTTTTTTTATTTCATATATTAAGATTTAAGTTATGATACTCCCAAAATCATTCCGCATAAATCTGCAGATTTTTTTCCAAAGTTATCCGCAGAAATAGCAAAAAAATGTCTGCAGATTCTGTCTGGCTCTACCCATAACATAAAGATACATTCAGTCCACAATTGCAGTATTCTGACCCAAATAGGGTCCCCTATTTATGTATGTGCTTATCTACTGCATTTCTTTAACAGAAGAGCTGAGTCAAACATCCTAAAGGAAAGCGGTCTTTACACACACCTGCTCTTACACACAGCCTCTTTGATACTTTATCTCTTCAGTTAAAACACAAACACCTGTTTACCCAGGAGACAAAGACAATGTGATGCAACACCACTACCCTTGCAAACCATATTACTTCATCATTGCATCCCACTTTCTTGTTTTGTTCTGGTAGGGAACAAAGAGATGATATAACAAACCAAGCCTGGTCTGACATCCCAAAATATCCACCATTTAATCCTTCTCATCTCAGCTGCACCTGCTCCACATGTTTGGTATGTGGGTCAAGATTAAGGAGGTTTTTTCCACTCTTCAATAAGCCGGCCTATTCCTGCATTCGGCAGTGTCATGTGCCCCAAACACACAGATCTTTTTTTAACTCCAAAACACAGCATTAAGATGATAGGCGTCAGGTAAACAGGCTAATCATGAGATGCTTTAGAGATAAATTACCTTGTTTTGTTTGGTTTTACAAATTCAAGCTCGGTCAAGTGTTCTCCACAAAAATGAGATCAAACCAAAGCTGTTGATAGACCACTGAGAAAATAAGGCAAACTCTGGACTCTATTCTAATGACCTAAATGCATAGTTTAAAGCACAGGACCATGGTGCACTTAGGTTTGAATCCACTTTTGCTATTTTAAGAAAGGAAAATATGGTCAGTGCACCTGGCGCATGGTATAAAAAAGTGTTGTTCTCAAGCTCTTAATGAGTTAAGGGTGTGTTTCGTGTGTAACATGTATAAACCAATCAGAATCTCATGTTCTATTACCTTTAAGAGTGAGTTGCATTTGCTAGATATTCAACCCAGGCTCATTCTGAAAACGTACTGCTATATACATTTCTGGAGATTGCGAAATACATCCAAGGAGGTATGTTCTTTTGCAGTTTTTGTGCCATTCGAGTGCTATTTGTGCCTGTTCTTCTAGCAAAAATCCACCAGAGGCCGCTGTTGACTTACTGACTGACTGACCCACGCTTCTCTTTCCCTAAACTCGATCAATAATGTTTTCAAAAGCACCTATTAACCTGTCCACCCACTTCCCTAAACCCAACCGACAGTTTTAAAAAGCAATCCAGAAAAAATCCTCTGCTGATTTTTACCAAGATTTCGAATTTTACCACATTCTCACCCTGTTGTTAATTTGTTTAATAATTTTTTGGCTTCTGTTTTTATCTTTTAGTTGGTCAATGATGCGGCCAATTTTGATTGCCTCAAAAGAGCAACACGCCAACAATGCGGCCTAAAATACCTCCATGACAGACTTGGTTTGGGACTTGTAGAGCTGTGCATGGATGAATTTGCTCGTCAGTGTTTGAACTGTCAGCAATGAAATTTATCTACATTTTAAAAGCGCTATATAAATAAACATGAATTGAATTCAATTGAAATGTTTGCATGTTAAACAATGTGGCACAGGACATGAAAATGATGCCTGTGCCAGGATGAAACTAGCAAAAAACACAGCTGGCTCTGCATTGCACCTGGGGTATGAAAGGGACCAAAATGTTATTGTTTTAATAATAACTTCCTGTAGTTTAACAAAACAGCTTTGGTTAATTTTCTCCACAGCACAAAGCTACAATTTTTGACATGTGCCACTCAAGCATTTTAAATGAAAATTCAGGGGTCAACTAGTATCTTTGTGTGTCTCCTCTGCTTTGAGAAGAATATAATGGAGATGGACAGGAAGAGGGGGAAGGGGATCCTGAATGGGTGTGACCACATATAAAGTTTGGAATCCAACTGGCAAGAAAGAGATTTTGAAAGGTTTGTGTATTGGGTAAAATTAACACACCTACAGGTTGGGTTGCTAATCACACCTCTTTGGTATCCTGTAAAATACATTAAAATTCTCTACTAAATGTTTGATTTGAAATTTTGTCAAAAAATTAAGTAATAAATCAAACACAAACAGCAGCTATGCTAATTGTTTTCTTTGTTCTCCATACTCATTCTGAGGCCTCTGGAGATTGTGCAGCACCATGTATGTGATCCAAGTCCTCTGAAGAGATGATGCCAACCATAGAAGAATTCTAGAGGTCTCCATAACCGTGGACATGGTCGTATCCTGAGCAGATGCTGTGGCGGTCATGAAGGAGTGGAAAGCATGAGACCTGAACAACCCGGGCTCATTGTGGAAACGTAGCCCCGCGGACGTTTCTGCGGACCGCGATTTACATCCCGGGAGGTACGTATTCGAGCGTTTTTTTGTTTTCGCTCGAAAAAAAAACCAAATGCGGCCTTTACGTACCTCCGGCCACGTAAATCGCGGTCTCCAGAAACGTCCGAGGGGCTACGTTTCCAGAATGAGCTTGGGTTGGACCTGAAAGACCCAGTGAGAGATGTTTCTCCACATTGATCCCAAAGGCCAGCCTGAACACCCGCCAGTGACCTACTCACACCTGCGGTTCATCATGATGGACGTCCATCATTCTCCAGCCTTCGGCGCCCAGACTGAAGCTCTGCACAAAAAGTTTGGCCAGAGGAGAAATGGTCGTGCTCAACTGAGCCTGGTTTCTCTCGAGTTTTTTTCCTTTACTTTCTTCAATTGGTGAAGTTGGTTTCTCACCACTGTCGCCACTGGCTTGCATGGTTTGGGACTTGTGTAGCTGCGCATTGATGGATTTGCTCTTCAGTGTTTGGACTTTCAACAGTGAAATTTAATCCACACTGAACTGAACTTCAACTTTGAAAACTGGACTGACACAATTTCAAATTATATTTACTAGAACTTCTCTGTTAAGCTGCTCTGACATTGTAAACATGCTATGTAAATAAACATGAATTTAATTGAACTGAATTGAGTTGAATAATAAATGTGAAATTCTAGTAACCAGTTTTCAGAAATGAACATTCTGCTCTGAAAGTTATCAATCCAACAAAACCAAAAACCATACACATCATCATCAAGGCTTAACCTAACAGCAACACAACCAAGCAATCAGAAGTACAAAATCCCTAAAAACTACTTAAAAATTAATACTGGAACTTCCCGAAATATAATCACTAGGGTGAACGTGGCAGTCAGTCTGACCATTCATATAAGACTGTACCTATCTTTTTGTCACATCATTTTTACATTCAGGCGACGCAGTAGGTAGTGCTGTCGCCTCAAAGCAAGAAGGTTGCTGGTTCGAGCCTCGGCTGGGTCAGTTGGGGTTTCTGTGTGGAGTTTGCATGTTCTCACTGTGTTCATGTGGGTTTCCTCCGGGTGCTCCAGTTTCCCTCACAGTCCATGCTGTACAGTTGAATTGGGTAGGCTAAATTGTCTGTAGTGTATGAGTGTAAATGAGTGTGTGTGTGGGTGTTTCCCAGAGATGGGTTGCAGCTGGAAGGGCATCCGCTGTGTAAAAACGTGCGGGATAAGTTGGTGGTTCGTTCCGCTGTGGCGACCCCAGATTAATAAAGGGACTAAGCCGAAAAGAAATTAACATTTACATTTATAGCTTTTATTGAAATTTTAGAACTACACTTTGAATGTATTGTCATATTTTATTTATATGTATTACATATTTTTAATTTATAAGTCATTAACCTAAAAATACAATTTTTGTTGTAATATAGGCTATAATTGTGTAAAAGTTACTAGACTTCCCATAAAGGTGAATACCTTTGTCTGGCAAAGGGGAGAGCAAACATTTTACAGTGAAAATGAAAACTCTACAGTGAAAATGTTGTTTTTGTGAAAGTTTGAAAGGCATGTTTGAAGTAATTGTGCTTTTTGTTACCAGAAAGTTGCTAGGCAACAGATGTATTCATATCCAATGGCACAAGAAAAAATAGAGGACGCAGAAATGCATGCAATAAATTTGAGCATTATGACCATTCTTGTTAGAAATTCTCATACATTCGTTTTATTTGTTACTTTGGTAACCCTTTTTTTTTTTTTTTTTTTTTTTGATGGTCCGTTTGTTGAATTTAAATTACATTGCATCTACATGCCAACTAGTTCTCATTAGATTATAAGTAATCAACAGATATTAAGCAGACAGTCTACTAATACTCAAATGGACCATCAAAATAAAGTGTTACCGTTATTTTTAATAAAATACCAGTGTTACAATAAAAGAGTACCATATTTAGGGAAGTAAGGATATTGTAGTAATATGGGTCAAATTTTCTGAGATCTGAATGCCAAAAGCTGATAACAATTATGAACATTTCATTGGCAATTACAGTGGGATGCCAAAATGTTGAATTGGTCAGTCTCACTTTTACTAATATGGCTATAACTCTTGACTAAAAAGAGATATTTTAATCATGTTAATGTGTGAGTTCATTCTAAGTCATATTTGACTCTAAAATTCTGGGAGACCGGGTGGCTATTTGTCTAAATAACACATTTGATAATTGGGTTAGTAAGTGTACTGTGGATATGGACTGTACCAAAAAGCTGAGGACCTTTGAGGGGGAAAATGGGAATGTTGTCAGGTATGTTCTAAGACCACAGTAGAATAATTACAGAGTAAGGTCACTTGGTGATGCTATAACTTGGGGGATTTCTTTTCTTTTTCACTGTCACACTACATGTCACTGTGTTATAGGGAGCAAAGCCATTCATGTCTGTAAGTTTTCTTAATAGTAACAAATCATTCTTCCTTTCATTCAGTCTTTCTTCTTCTTCTTCTTCTTCTTCTTCTTCTTCTCTGGACTGCCATTGCTTTCTCAGCAGGCTGTTTGGATTGCAGAACCTTTCGCTCTTTTAGCTTCTCAGGATATTGGCTGGTTTCAGCGAAACGGTGCAGGAATTGATGCTGAAACTGGGAGGTTACTGTTCAAAAGCTAAGACAATAAACATGTCTCTTTCATGTGTCTATAAAGTGCTTATTTGAACAGAACAACCTACATAATTGCCTTAGATTAGTTTACATTTGGCAGACACAGTCGGCATAATTTGGGATTAAACCTCCCTTGCCTGATCCCTAAATTATGTAAATAGACAACATGCCAACCCATATGGTAAAGCATTTAAGCAGGTATAATTGTTTACCATCATAATTCAAAGGGACACAAAGGGGAAGGAATGTAATGTCATTTCCGTGACTTAACAGCACAGTTATGAACGGTTCGCCCTTTGCAAGAACTCATGACTGGCCGGCCAAGTGGGAGTCATAACTCACATTAATACAGACTTCCTACGAGACTCCCTCCAACACTGAGTCAACAAACCTGTAGTGTTTTCTGCGAAAAAGTCAAGGATTTTCTAAATAATTAAAGCCTATAATATAGTTGAAAATTATATACCTTTTAGCGTTTTAGGAAATCTGTGGTTCCATCGCATGCTCAGAGGAAAAGAAATCCTACTGTGGAAATTCACTCTTCATTTGCTGTACTTAAGCTCTCCCTGAAATAATGCAAATATGAGCTTATGTGCTACTTCTCAAGGGATTGTGTAATTCTGGGAAAAGGACTTGAGTTCCTCCTCTCGTGTTTCAGAGCAATGGCTTTTCACCAAAACCACAAATTAGGTAGAATGTGTAGTATGTTTTGTTAATGCAGTGGTAATATTACAAAATGAGTTATTGCTATTTGTGACAATGCAGCTAATTTTCTTTACATTTTATTATATTATTTAATAGATTTCAAGAGGCCAACTTTTAGGAACCTACCTGTCTTCCTCAGAGGAAAGTCGTCCCGGTAGTCCTGTGGGGAGGGCAGGGAGATCTTGCAAGAGGAGGACGCACCTCCCAAAGGAGGTGAACTTTGCTCTAGAGAGGTGTGATGGGAGGCCCTGAACAGAAAGGAGATGCAAACTGAACTCCTGAACTTACCGTGCAGTCATAAATACAGCTGACAGCTACTCTAAGCTCCATTACAATCCTCTTCTGCATCACATTTATGATTATTAGCAAAAACTGAATCCAATTGGATGTTCTTCCAATTTATTTATGATTACCTTTTTAAATCCTAAGTACAGTTAACTTTATTTACCATTATTGTTTAAACCTAGTTAACCTAATGAACCAAGTTAAGCCTTTAAATGTCACTTTAAGCTGCATAGAAGTGTCTTGAAAAATATCTAGTAAAATATTATTTGCTGTAATCATGGCAAAGATAAAAACAAATCAGTTATTAGAGATGAGCTATGGAAATTATTATGTATACAAATGTGTTGAAAAAAATCTTCTTTCCGTTAAACAGAAATTGGGGAAGAAATAAACAGGGGGCATAATAATTCAGGGGGGCTAATAATTCTGACTTCAACTGTATTAAAACTATTATGTTTAGAAATGTTCTGAAAAAAATATATATATCTCCGTTAAACAGAAATTGGGGAAAAAAATAAACAGGGGGTCTAATAAATATGACTTCAACTGTACATCATTCAATATAGTTCCAATGTAAATATTTTTAGCACATTGTTGTTATACAAAAGCTCCCTGTCCCTATGACCCTGCTGTTACTTATTGTGGTCATCTGTTCCTTGTTTATTTGCTTATTTACTGTAGTTCAGTGCATTTGTATTGTTTTAATCAGTTCCTTGTTGTTCATTGTCTATGTGATGGTGTTCTTTGTGTTATGGTCTCAGCATTATAGTTAAACCTATTTTTTATTTTTGTAAATAGTTGTGCAACTGATGGCCGAAAGAGCTCAAATGTGCTGCAGGATGCAAATGCACATACAGAAAGATGCAGCAATGTCGGAGGTCTGAAAGGTGAGTTTTGCTGTTTATTTTAATGTTCTGATCATACAGTCTCTTGCTCTTTCTATACTTTAATCCCTAATGATGAGTAATTATGATGAGTAATAATTACTACCCAGACACATTTATTTGTATTAATAATTGTATTTGCTTGTCTTGTAAGAATGTCTGTGCATGTGTGTTGTTTTATTTGCATGTGTTTTCTTAACTTGCAGCGCGTTTGAGCTATCTCAGCCACCATACATTACTTCTAACGTAACATGACATAAAATATCAGCAAATATATCAATCCTCAAAAATTATTTCTAAAAGATCATGTGACACTCATATATATGTCTGCTGTCTGCTTAATGTTGATACTGCTTCTTCAACAGACATTTAACTGACTATAAGAAACTTTGCAAGTACATGTCAACTTACACCTAACCCTAACCTCAACCTAACAGTCTACATATAATCTAATGAGAATTAATTGGCATGTAGATGCAATGTAACTTAAATTCAACAAAGGGACCTTAAAATTAAAGTGTGATCAAAATGTCTTATTCTCACCAAACCTTTAAAATATAGTGAATGATCTATTGAAATACACTGTAGTTTTTAGGGCATTTCCAGGCTACATCTATTTAAATTAATCCTGTAAGTTAAACAGTACACATGAAGACAACTTACGTGTACCAGAGTTTAGAGCTCTGCGTGATTTTCTGAGGGATCCCATTCAATGTAATGTCTTTGGTGGATTTACTCAACAGAAACTCCTGGAGTTTCTGCTTGACCTCATTGCTGGCCACTGCACCTGTCAGGCCAGGAGATGGACACACAAAGACATCATAAGCATCTTGGGGTTTGATCAAAATATATTTAAACTTAAAATGAATACAGTAAAACTGGAACATTCCTGACAGAGCTCAGCTAACATTCTCTGATTATTTTGCTACAGTCACCATGAACTAAAAGAATGTTTTGCAGAGCTTGGCTTCATTTCAAGGTCAGAGAAATGATTGTATTACTGCCACTCCCAGACACAGCAGGATTGGCCTCAACGAAAGAAAAAAAAAAAAAAAAAGAAAAAAAAAAACAATAGCATCTCTCCTACACATTCACCCACACGCTCAAGCTCAGATGCATCTAAGCCTCTACTGTCTACAGCATTTTTTTGAGCAGGGCTTAAACAAGTGAAGGAACATCTCCCTCTTCTGGACAGCAGGAGTGAGGCATGAAAATTAGATCATAATTTATATGCAAAACTCCCAGTTGACTTATTACTGCATAAATCTTATGGCAACTCTCAATAACATTGATATTTAGACATATTTTTGGGTAAAAAAATATCTTAAAATAATAAATGAAGAGTTCAGATGCAAAAACTTCTGGAATTTTCTTCTACAATGAGCATTTTACTCAGCCTCTTATGTTTATAATCAGTTTTTTTTCATATTAAAAGCAATGAGAGTAGCCTATTCTTTGCCATAAAAATTTAATTACTGAATCAAGACATAGGAGCCTAATAAAAATACTAATATTAGAAGAGCATTTCAGATAGAGATTTATGCATCTGAACCCTTCTCATCTATATGCAGTCTACCAGAAACTTACATTTTCACTTATAAAAAATGTGACAGAGCCTGACTTAAGCTTGTTGCCCTCAAAAAATCGTACAAAAACAAGCATACAATCCTACAATTCAGTGATAGAACACATCCTTGATCACTGTCAGCTTCTCCTCCATCAAATGATGTCACTTCCAAGTCATGGTCTTAAAGGTGTATTGTATGCATTGTATGCTAAATTTAATGCAAATGTGACAGACAGACACTTAGTAAAATAGTAATACTATTATAATTTCATGTTTTGATTTAATTGTTGTGAACGATATTAATTTAAACTTGATATTTTGATTTTTTTTTTTTTACAGTTTTAAGGATAACTAAACTATTAAAGCTGTACGTTTAATTTGGCTAAGGACAATGACAGGGTTTGTACGTTTTTAAAGTGTTTTTTATTAAAGAAAAAAAAAAACATCTGAGAATCAAATGAATGGCATATTCCTTTACAGAACAACTCAACCAACCATCAGTGCATTTTAGAAATTCTGGGAATCTGTGAATTTTTTTCACTCCATTTATGTTTTTATTACAGGGACAGAGAACGTATGTTTCTGTTATATTTTGATATAATATAATATATAAAACTAAGTCTATTAGAATGCAAACCTCTCGATAGTCCAACTGATTGATTGATTTTTATTTTTGAATGAAATAGGGTAATACATCTCCCCCTTCCTACTTTCTAATTTACTTTCTAATTTTTTTTAACTAAATGTATAATCTCTGACCTTTCAACACTAACCCTCTATATTGTATTTTTGTATATATTTACAAAAAATTATAATATACTTAGTCTTGCATTCTAAAAACCTGCTTTATATTCTGGTAACTTGTTCATTACTTTAACCTTATTTTGTGTACAGCATTAAGCTAACAGTGATATAATATACACACAATTAATCACAATGTATTTACAGCTAACTGTGAGTTAACTATAAAAAAATACTTTTAAGCAACAAATTGCTTTTTAGTCTAATTGCGCTGTTAAAAAAATCTTGCTGACAATTTTTTTTTTTTGTTGTTGAATCAAATGAACTTTTCTAGTTATGTAAACTTACATCAATCAAACTGACCAACTTTGTATAACTTAAAAAAGAAATCAAATCCTGATTAGCTTATTAAAATAAGTGAAATCAACATAAACATATTTGTTATCTTGACTTTTTTCAATTTTTCATTTTGTCTAAAATGAAACACTATACATTTAAACCCAGCTCAAATCTACTTGACTAGTTTCCACTACTTTTTTATTAACAATGCCAACCTGTGTTGTCTAACACCTTCTCAAATCAACATGTAAAAGAAGCAGACGTCATTTAAATGTGTCATCTGACTGCTGACGTTTTGATGTGGATAGACATTAGACAGCTTTTGTGTGGGTGATCGTGATGATGAGCTCTTACTCTCTCTTGTCCGCTCTCTGTTCCGCAGAACCAGCACTTGTTGTTCGCGCCGATGTCTCTCCAGTTCTCTCTCCTGACTCTGGAGCTCTAGTTTCCGTTCTTTCTCCAGCTGCTCCTGTTGTTGCTTCATGACGTGAAGTTCCTGCTGCAACTGAGAGTCAGATGTTTATTATACATTTGGATTACAGTATATGGCTGTATTGCACCTCTTGCTTTTAGCATTGCATCATCGCTCAGGTTTTTTGTTGTTACCTTCAGGTGCTCCTGTATTTGGGCCTGATGCTGGCGAACCAGGTTTTCGTGCTGCTTCTGGAACTCAGTGATGAGTAACTGCTTCTGAATCTGCTGCTGTTTCTGAATGAGGAGCAGTTCTTGTTGAAGTTGTCTTTCCCAGACAGTGACTTCTGAAGCAGAGCCCTGCATCCTAATGTCTGTACGAAGATCCAGTGGAGAGCCTGGATCAAGAGCCAGTGGTACCTCTGGCTTAATGTCCACTGAAAAAAAGAAAAAAATACAGTGATTTAGTCCATGCCTTTCCTAAATGCCCTTAATATTATTATTATTATTATTATTATTATTATTATTATTATTATTATTATTATTATTATTATTATTATTATTATTATTACTATTATTATTATTTTGCTTTCTGACATACTTAAATAATTGAACACACTGCAAAATATCTGTAAATTAGCAGTTTTTGCATATTTGATGATTCATGTTTTTATTTTTCCCATATATTTATGCTTTTAAATTGGGTTATAGGACCTTGATCTTTTTCCAATAACTTTTAACCTTTAAAAAGTGACTTTTATTAATGTTTTTAATAGTTTAAAGTCATATATAGTCTGGTTTGGTGTTGTATAAGACTACAAAAACCTTGTAATAAACATTTATTGCATTTTACTGTTTTAACAGTACATTTTCTGTTACTTTTTAAGCATATTTCGTGATATTTTATCGGTCACACTTTACAATGTTCAGTAGTTAATGTTAATTAATGCATTTACTAACATGAACAATGAACAATACATTTACTACTGTATTTGTTCATGTTAGTTAACGTTAGTTAATGAAAAAACAGTAGTTCATTGTTAGTTTGTTAACTCATGGTGCACTAACTTATGTTAACAAGCATGGACTTGGATGTTAATAATGCATTAGTAAATGTTCAATTATGATTAATAAATGCTGTACATGTGTTGTTCATGATTTTTTCATGTTAGTAAATGCATTAACTAATGAACCTTATTGTAAAGTGTTACAATTTTATTTATATATTATTCTTATACACTATATTATTTTTATACTATTTTACTAAACTGTTAATAAAAGTCACTTTGTTAAACTGTAGAGTTTGCTCTTTCAGCAGAGTTTGACTTTTGATCCAGTAATGCAATTCCTAAATAAAAGGAAAAAACTTGTGAAGTACAAATTTTTTTTATAGTGTACATATACTGTATGCATGGCAACTTTATTTATTTGTATGGTATTACCAAATAGCCACTCTGGTGTTAGAAGTTTTCATATTTGAGTTGGTGAGCTTCAAAGTTTTTGTTTCCCATTAAAACAAAAAGGATGTTGGGAATGGGTTTTCTCTATACAAAAAAAGACGCTTCACATAATTAAAAATATTTTCAGAGCATACGAATATTTGAATAACTAAAGTCCAAGGTGATTAAATATATGTGGTTTAAAAATCCATTATATTTGAAATGTTAGACTTTTAATCTAAGCTCAGTCACATGGTGTGATCAACAAAGTCATGTTCATGCTTATCCTAGAATGATGGGTAGGTTTAGGAGTGGGGATTTTGATTGGGAGCATGCCTCCTTTTAAAAATTCT